AGAAAGCCAATCATATCCTGGGCTGAATCAAGAAATGTGTGGCCAGCAGGTTGGAGGAGGTGATTCTCCCCCTCCATTCTCATGAGACCCCACCTGGAGTACTGCATCCAGTTCTGGAGCCCCTACTACAAGAAAGATACAGACGTGCTGGAATGTGTCCAGAGAAGGAGCATGAGGATGATTAGAGGGCTGGAACAACTATACTGTGAAGACAGACTGAGGGAGTTGGGGTTGTTCAGTCTGGAGAACAGAAGGGTCCAAGGAGACCTTATTGTAGCCTTCCAGTATCTCAAGGGGGCTGCAAGAAAGCTGGTGAGGGACTTTTTAGGATGTCAGATAGTGGTAGGACTAGAGGGAATGGATTAAAAGTAGAGATGGGTTGATTCAGACTGGACATTAGGAAGAAGTTCTTCACCATGAGGTTGGTGAGACACTTGAACAGGTTGTCCAGAGAGGTGATGGAAGCCCCATCCCTGGAAATGTTCAAAGGCCAGGCTGGATGAGGCTTTGAGCAGCCTGATATAGTGGGAGATATCCCTGCTCATGGCAGAGGTGTTGTAACTAGATGATCTTTAAGGTCCCAACTCAAGCCATTCTATGATTCTGTCAAATTACAATTCTTGTTTAATACTGCCACAGTATAATACCAGCATGCTAGCGTTGATTTTTCATAGATCTTTTTTCACTGAGTGGTTTATGTCTGTCTCAGATCTGCTCCTTTGCATCTTACAAGTACATGGTTTTGTTAGGCAACTTGCATCCTCAAAAAAAAATCCACCTTTACTATTCAGAACCTTTCAATGTAGAAACATCAGTGGGCATCGTTGTAGAGTTGCTCAGAACAATATAGGTAGTTGATAAAAACAGTCTATGACATCATTCTGCGTGTATGTACATAGCCTGTGACATGCTTCAAGGCCTGAGGTAATGAAAGCTGAAAGTTTGAGATAGTTGTTATAGTGGATATTGCTGTCAAAATGTCTGAGTAGGTAATTGTTACAGTTTACTGCATTCGTTACAGCACATTACTGAGCTAATATTCCTCAAAAATGTTCTGTGCAAACAGCTTCTGGGTGGTATTTTAAGTTAGATAATCATAGAATCATAGAATGGCCTAAGGTGGAAGGGACCTTAGAGATCATTTTAATCCAGCCTCCCTGCCACCAGGGACGTCACCTCTCGACGGGAATGAGAAGAACAGAATATTACATATTTAGTGAAGAAGAGTTTAAAAACCAATCTGTGTGGTTTGTTTTTTTGGTAGCTTAGATGCTTGGAAATCCTAAACCAATATAGAAGATACAGCACGTGCTGTAGTGCAGAAATACCTGATGACAAAGAATGTCAACTACACTGAATAATGCACTTCCAGGAGCAACAGGTTAGTTAAATATAGCTCTACAGTGAACTGACTTGTAAATTCTACCTTGTAATGCCACACTTAATCTTCTGCCTCTGCTGCTTTCTGGGAGTGAGATGTTAGAAGATAATAATGCTTACAAGACCATCTGAGTCTTGATGACTCCATTCAGTCACATACGTGACTTTCCTTTTCCTGATTCTAGGACCTTCAAGAGCTTCCAGACCTGAGCTATATGGTGTACTTTAAATGAACTTAGTCCTAGTTTATGAATTAAACCACTACATTTGGACAACTCCTTGTTCAGCCCAAGAATTTACTATTAATGTAGTTATTATTGAAGTTTTAGAAACATCAGAATGTCACTGTTTGAGCCTTTAGATCCTCTGCAGGCAAGATATGCAAAGCACTCAGTTTACTAGCCTATTAGATGACTGTAGTTACATTTGAAAATGTTTATAAACTTCCATGTTTACCACTTCATGTAATGGGAAAAATCATTGCATTTTCAGTGTGCATTCATGAGGAGGAAACATGCAGCTGCAGTTTTCCAGTCAGATTGCTAGGGTTATACAGGGTGTACCCATCACATTTTACTTCTTGTTGTACTTCCCAGGACCCTTAAGTGAGAGTATAGTGGGGACTGGAGAGGAGAGTGATTTTTCAGATATTGGCAGCAATTGTTTTGGTACTGATTCCCTTCTGTGATCATCTGTGTGTGCAGCCTTTAAAATTTGACCGGTAAAGGACAATGAAAAAGAAACACTTCAAATCATGTTGTCTTGTTGAAAATACCTAGTCCTTCTCAAATGATACAGGACAACATTTTAGATAAAACGTGCAAAAAAATACTGCAGGAAATAGATACAGAAGTATAATTAACAATTTTATATATATTTTTAGTAGTAGATTTCCTTTAAAGCATACTTTACAATGTTACTATTTTATCTTTGTTACCATTATACTGTGAAGAGTTTGTAGGAGGCAGAGATGAGAATGGGACAAAATTTTACTGGGCGTATCTGTGAAATGCTGACTTTTATGGATGATACTGTGGGTGATAGTGTTCTGACATAAGCTACTTCTTTTACTAGTAGCAGTCTGATGCCTTTGTCCTGATATTGTTGCGTTTAGATACGAAGTAAACTATATTTCTGTTCATCATGCTCTTTTTGCTGAATTAATATTTAAAATAAAGTTGTGCTTTTATCTTGTTAGTTAGTTGCTTCTTGATAGCTGCCGTATATTCTGTTCCATTCTGTTACCTGTTGAACAGGAGAAAAATACATGACATAATGGCTATCAGAAACAGCAGTAGTCTGAGAGAGTATTAGCAAGATCCAACTAGAGTAATTTTGGGGATTTGGGAAGCTACCATCCTTACTGAAGGTATCATATTTCACAAAAACTACTGATTTTAATGACCAATAATAATGTAGATATTGCAACATTATACTGGTAACAGTATGTGTGTGAAAATTACTTGAAAACAACTCTTTAATTGTACAAGCTATGTGTCTGTCATTAGCTCCCTGTACTTTCCTAATATTAGTATTACCTTGCTATAGTCATCACATGAAAATTGATTTCTTGATAAAAACTAAGGTAAAATGCCATGCTTTCTTTGGATTTAGGCTGTGTTGTATTTTTTTGTGTTTTTTTTTTAAATGACATCTGTTTTCAAGTTAGTTTGGCTTCAGCTTGCTGCTTTTTCAGTACAGAAAAAGACATAATTACATTTATAATCTGTACTTAATGGGAAACAATGTTGAGTGAAAATAGTGTTACTTAGTGCAGAGGGCAAATAGCACTTATTAGGGAGCCTGAAATAGCTGAAAAAAAGTGAATTTTTAGTAAAAATGTCACCAGCTCAAAAGAGAGGAGAAATACCTTTTTTTCTCTTAAACATCTGGACAAAAGTTTTAGATGTTAGAAAAGAGCATGCTTGCACTGGGAAAAACACTGGAAGGAATACTGGAGGCCAGGCTCTATGTCAATGGTAAGCTACCAAGAAGCAATTGATAATGCTTAGAAAATAATAGGCTTCTGTAAAGCTAAGATCCAGAAGAGGTCCCTAGTCTAGTCTACAGTTAAATCTCATATAAGACTTCTAGCGATTACCAGGCTCCAAGAGGGGTGGCTTAGTCATGCAAAGCCATTGCAGTTTTCTGTGTCACTCTCCTCTGTGTCACTCTCCCCTGTGTCAGCAATCTGCAGTGAAGTGGAAATTCGGGCTCATATTTGTTGATTGAAATAATACTGTGGTGCACTGAAATGGAAGTGGCAGGGTGAGCAGACAAGCTGGAGAGCAGTAAAACACTATGATTTGGCTTACCTGAGGATTGTTCTATCAGAGGACTCTTGACGTTTAGACGTAAGAATGGATCCAATGCAGTAATTCACGTGTTCCTTTTTTTGTGTTTTCAGTTGGTGAGCTCTGGAGTAGAACTTTTATTTTTCTCTTTTTTTCAGTTATGCTTGTTAACAGCATGATGTATTACAATTTTGACAGAACAGGGAGGTGAAGGGAAAGGACATTTATTGCACTTGCTGCTGGATTCAGAGACCTCTACAGAGACTTTGGAGAAGAATGACAGCATTGTGTAATGATTCACTAGCATGGACACACAGTGGAGAAGTAGTTACTTGTGTTCAGAACCAACTGAGAGAACATTACTTGGAGCTGAATGGCCTCGATATCACTAACGCTGAAAATTTAAGGCACCATGTAGTCCCTGCAGAATTTTATTGGAATATACAGACTAACCAGAGATTGGTAGTTAGGTTTTTTTCAGGTTATGTGTAAGTACTCTTCAATTACTATTATTATACTAATAAGTGGAAGGATGAAGCATCTCTGTGCTGAGGTGGCAGAATTAAAATAGTACAGAGCAAATGTCTGATAAGCCGTGTAAGTACTAACCTGACAGGGAAGGGACGCAATGCAGAGTGCAAGCTCTGTACGATATCTCCTTGCTAACAGGTATGGGTTCCATTGTTGTGAAGACTCTGCTTACACATCTTTTGATGCTTCTATAGCCTATAAAATGATGGGACAGGAGGGGTGTAAAATAGGTTATGCCTTATTTTTTTATGTTATTCTCTTTTCTGATACTGACTTGGTTCTGTGTGGATCTTAGAATTTTTATCTTTTAATGCTGTTAAAATATAGTTCTTTTAGGAATTAAGGAGCCATCACAAATCTGTGTTATAAAGATAATAATAGTCAATTACTTGCAGGTGTTTAGTTTCATGGTGTTTTAGTGTAGCCTTCAATAAGTCGCTCTGGATGCTATGTGCAAAGCAATACTGAAGTGTGGATTGTAATTCATTCATCTGGAGATGGGTTTTGTTTTTGCTTTGGTTTGGTTTTTTGTACTGGCATAGAGCGAAGACAGTTCTAGTCCCAAGCGACAACGCCTTTCCCATTCAGTCTTCGACTATACAGGAGCATCACCAGCTGCATCACCACCAATGCGACCATGGGAGATGACATCAAATAGGCAGCCTACTTTGGCTCGGCCCAACCAACACCACTTCTTAGGGGAACGATGCAGCACACCTGCACGAAACAGGAGGAGGTAAGCAAGATGTGTAGATTGGGACGCAATTTTTTATTCTTCCTGATTTCAGCTGAAAGGAGGTTTATTTCTAAATAAACTAAACTTCCAGCTCAAATGAAATGTTATTATAGTTGTAACTGAAAAGTTACTGGAAGTAGTTCATATAGGTGCATCATCCTGTAATTTGTGTGAATAGTCAACTGTGGTAAAGGGGTGCTCATTAACATTTTTCATTCTGAGCCTAATCCTTTTTCACTATGCACTGGAGCAATAAGCCTTTAGAGAAATGCGAGGAAAATCTTTCTCATCAGGGTACTTTTAAGGATACTAGGAGTTATTGATGTAGTATCATAATTTTCACAGTTACTGTAGTACCTAGAAACAATCGTAATAAAGATGGGGTGCACTGGCTGGAGAGAGTGACAGGTTTAGCATAGCGTCAAATAGTTGCCTAAATTGATGATTCAGGTATAATAGGAGTTACATGTACATGTTGGCTTTAGCTTGTGGCTCATTAATCTCTGAAAGCAGAGATTTTGGACAAGTTTCAGTGGACGTGGAAGAGTAGAGATTGGGATGGGCAGATCCATCCTGCAGAGTTGATGTTATAGGAAGCATAAAACTAGACTTTTTTACTTCTGTAGTTAAACTAATTATCCAAAACACAAACTTTCATTCCTCACATTGGGCTTCAGAAATGCTGAGCCAGCTATTGCAAGTTAAAACACAATTTCCTTTTGAGAAATAGTGTGCCTTTGTTTGTACTAAAATTGAAGTGTGTGCTTTTTCATTAATATAAAATATTAGGCTTAAGAAATGCATAACTAGTTTTCTTCTGATTGCAGAAATTAAATTCGTTGGTCATCAACGATCAGAGGTAATTTGGAGACAAAAGACTTGAAAACATGATAGTTTTGTATCTTTGCTTCAAGTCCATTAATCTGAAAGCTTTCAGTTAGTGGAATTCAAAATACACAGCTCTTGAAACAGCTTGTCATACTTAAGTGAGAGGTTGAGTTCTGAACTTGCAGGATTATTATGAAGACAGAAAATCAAGTCTTTTGTGCAGTTTGGTACAGGGGTGCTCTACAGGGACATTTGGACTTGTTGATCTTAAGAGATCGTTTCCAATCTTGATTCTATAATTCTGAGTGCATCTGTCATTAATGCTTTAGATGAGGTTATGCATGTGCTTTTGAAACCAGTTTCCTATTTTCTCTGCTTTGTTTGTTTTTTTTTTCCCCGTTGCAGAGTGATCTCAGAGTTAATGAGATTTTCAGAGGAATATAAGAGTAAAGGTGCAATCTAGTTGCAAATGATCATTCAGCTCAAGGGAACAGACTAGGGCAAGTGCAAACAAAACCTCTGAAGTGTCTGCAATGTGGACAACAGTCATAATCAGCATTAACTCTTTTGTCCTACCAGTTCGCTCCTGTGAGCAAGGCTATGCTGATTTTATTATCCAGATTTTTCCATTGTCTGGGCTACTATTTAGACCTTATCTGTTTGTATCAGGTTTTTGTACCATGCCTAGCACAACAGTGCCCTAATTCATTGTGGGATTTTTTTTCAGATTCATTGTAAGTAAATAAATATGCTTTTAGAAGGGTAGCCTTCAGGTATGAATTTGCAGAAAGATGTACAGGTAAATTGTGAATGTAAAAGTATAGTACATACCTATATATATAAAACAGAGAAGGCCAGTCCAGTCTTTACTAGTCATTGTGAAATTGGGAGATCTGTGCCATTGCTGTATCTCACCTTTCATTTATGCCTCTTTTCCTTCTTGTCTTGAATGTTACTCAGAACTGTCAGGATTTTAGAATGTGTTACATCGATCACCCTTGTTAGAAAACATTAAAATCTGCAAATACTGTCTGTGCAGTTACGGACACCTTTTGATGGCTGTTCCTACCTAAGGCTAGAAATTCCTGCAGTTTTTCCACAATTTCCATCCTGTCTCTTTGTTTCAACTGGGCAGTTGCCATGTTTATACAGTGCATATAGAACCAGAACAGGTTTTTTGTGGATTTTTTTAAGGCTTCAAACACAAGTTCATTAGTGATGTTAAATGATAGTTTAGACCCATGTCTTGACAATTCTTTGGAAGTTATTTCTGGCAATTCAGGAATCATGTAGAGCTGTGTATACAGATGTTCTGAATTTTGCTGAATGGAAAGTGTATTTTCTATATAACTCTTCATAGGAAAAAATCCAGTTTTGCTTTTTCCAGAGAATGCTTTGCATTCCAGAGAATGATACTCCATCCATTTTTAAAAAATCAAGAAATTCTACCACCTTTTACTATAATTCTCTGTAGAAAAGTAAATCCAGGCCCTTTGACCAGAGTGGGACAAGAGTAGTTTCCTGAGAAGCTACCTTGTCTAAGTGCTGGTGGCAATTAGAGAATTTCTGTTCTTCTTCCAAGGCACTGGAGCTGCCTTTTGTGACTTTCCTCTGTTCTGCAGCTTTTCCAAATAAAAATCATTGCATAGCCATTTTATATTAAGTATTCATAGAATCATAGAATGGGTCAGGCTGGAAGAGACCTTTAAAGGTCATCTAGTCCAACCCCCCTGCAGTGAGCAGGGACATCTTTAACTAGATCATGTTGCTCAGAGCCCCATCAAGCCTGGTCTTGAATGCCTCCAGAAACGGAGCTTCTACGCCTCTCTGGACAACCTGTTCCAGTGTCTCATCACCCTCATGGTAAAAAACTACTTCTTAATGTCCAATCTAAATCTGCACTGCTCTAGTTTAAGACTGTTGCCCCTCATCCTGTTGCTACACACCCTTATGAACAGTTACTCCCCAGCTTTCTTGTAGGCCCCCCTCAGGTACTCGAAAGCTGCCATAAAGTCTCCCCAGAGCCTACTCTTTAGGCTGAACAACCCTATCTCCCTCATCTGTAAGGCTTTTAGCAGTTTTGTCAATAAGAAGTTTTATTCAATTCTAATAAAACTGTTCTGATAATGTTTTCCAGTGTACTTGTTTCTCATGATACTTGTTTCTCCTGTGGGTTTAGTTATTAAGAAGGCTTTGTGTCATTTATATAATCTCTAATAGTTTTAATGCATTTCCAGTCCTCCAGTTCGGCGTCAAAGAACAAGGAGAGATCGTTTGTCTAGACGTAATTCCATTAGCCAGGATGAAAACTATCACCGTCTCTCCTATGGACAGCAGCAAGCAATAGAAGAGCCCCGAGCCTTTCACCCACCAAATGTATCTCCTTGTATGTTGCACCCAGCTGCTCATCCACCTCAGCAAAATGCAGTGGTGGTTGACATTCATGATCAGGTAAGTGTTCGAGTACAAATGGAGGGGTGTCGAACATGTGAGTTTGTTTTCCATCAAATCTCAAAGATCCCTTTCCTCTCCAACTCAGTTCGCAACAAAGATCACATAACAGAGCATTTTTCCTTTTGAATATTAGTGGAGTATGTAGCAATGCAGTAGGCAGTGAAAAAAAAACCAAGAAACTCCATACTTTTAATACAGGAGATTGATATTTAATAATTTGTTAGTGCATGCATTTTATAGTACTGTAGGCCTCTGGCTCAAAACTTGGAAATGCAGTTATTTTGCTTCCAAAGTTAATTCAGTGTGATAACTAATGATCAGATGTGATAATTATTGATATCCAAAACATTTCTGTGTCATATGAAATGCATCTCCTTAGCATAGGAGTCTTTAAATAGTTAAAATGTGTTATTTGGGAGTAGAATTCCCAACACCAATGGTTGCCTGCGTGACAGCAGAACTCATGATAGTATTATCGCATAACCAAATTAACCATCCAAGCCTAATCAACCCCTCCTTAGATGACATCAAATGTGGTTGATCCAGAAAGTAAATTCCTGTCTGTGACAGCAGTTGGTATAGAGTTCTGTAACTGAGGATCTATAAAAGAAGTTGCGCTGTTGAGGTAACCTGTGTTGTTGTTTGTTAAATCGGTACGCTGCAGCTGAAGTACAGTAGTTGCTATGTAGTCATGAGTTGAGAAAGAGAAGTTTTTATTCAGATACCCACTTTTCAAACTACACGTGCATGGAATGCAACTCGTAACATCCTTGGCCTTGTTTGCATTCAATGCAGCTGCATACAACTAAAGTGTTTTATTATGTGAGCAGAGCAGTTCTCAGTAGGGGAGTATTTGCATTTAGGACCAAGTGCAAGGTTGGAAGCTAATGATGCTACTCTAGTCATCTCACAGTTATGTTGTGATGAACCATTCTACTGCTGCAACACCTCAAAAATTTAAATCATGCTCTTGCTTTATGTTGCAAGATTACATCGTGACAAGCCTGGATAAACAGTTTCTCCATCCCACTGCCTCTAACTTCCAAGCAACATGTATGATAAGGTGTCAGTGTTTGCAGACTAACTGAGCTTTCCATGGAAATGTTTTATACTTAAGGGACATAACTATTTTGGGAGGTCATTTTTTTATTATTACTCTGAGCAGTAAACGTTTCAGAATCATACCCAGCCCAACTTCATATGCCCATCTTTTGCATAGAAGCCAGAGCTGGGTCAAATTCAGTATCTCTCCTGAGACTAGTTCCTGTCATGAATGCTATGCAGGGTGAGATTTTAAGTTCTATTCCGTGATCTGTGTTCTGCGTTGGCCTTTGTGTCTGACTGTACACTACCAGTTCAGTAAGCTAGCTGTTGTTACTCATTCTCACTTTCCTAATGAGTTTTTCTTGTTCCATTTTAAGCAAGCACGTTCCATTTTAGCAGATCAGGAAGGAGGAGGGTGCTTTCTTGAAGTAACTTTTCACTTGACATTGCTTTTTATTGATCTATGCTCCTTGACACTTAAGCCTTTACAGTTTTATTATCATATCAGAGGTTTCTTGTTTAGTGTTTTTAAAACCAAACAAAACATAACCCTTCAGAAAAAAAAGATTATTTGTAGGTCCAAATCCTTTCACAGAATCACAGAATTGTTGAGGCTGGAAAAGACCTCTGAGATCATCAAGTCCAGCCTATGACTAAACGTCATTGCAATGGCTAGACCATGGCACTAAGCGTCACATCCAGCCTCTCTCTAAACACCTCCAGGGATGGTGACTCCACCACTTCCCTGGGCAGCGCATTCCAATATCTGACCACCCTCTCCATGAGGAAGTGCTTCATGATATCCAACGTAAACCTTCCCTCACGCAGTTTCAGGCTGTGCCCCCTCGTCCTGTCACTAGTTGCCCATGAGAACAGCCCAATGCCTGCCTGACTGCAACGTCCCTTCAGGTAGTTGTACAGGGTGATAAGGTCTTCCCTGAGTCTCTTCCAGGCTGAACAACTCCAGTTCCCTCAGCCTCTCCTCACAGGACTTTCCCTCTAGTCCCTTCACCAGCCTCATTGCTTTCCCCGGACCCACTCCAGCACCTCAAGGTCTTTCTTGAAGTGAGGGGCCCAGAACTGCACACAGGACTGGAGGTGAGGCCTCACCAGTGCTGAGCACAGGGGCAGAATTACATCCCTGCTCCAGCTGGCCACACTGTTCCTGATACAAGCCAGGATGCCAGTGGCCTTCTGGGCCACCTGGGCACACTGCTGGCTCATGTTCAACCAGTTGCCAATCAGCACTCCCAGGTCCCTCTCTGCCGGCCACTCTCCAGCCACTCCTCCCCCAGTCTGTAGCACTGCAGGGGGTTATTGTGAGCAAAGTGTAGGACTCTGCACTTTGTCTTGTTGAACTTCGTACCGTTGGCCGCAACCCATCAACCCAGCCTGTCCAGATCCCTCTGCAATCTTAGTTGGATGATTACATTATCTGGAATACCACTAGCTAAAAATTTGGTTGTGTACATATGTTTTGTGGTATAAATGTGAATACTTAGGGTCTGCTGCCTTATAGTCATGTTTATTTTTCCTTTTAAGCTTTCCTGTTAGCTGTTCTTTTATATTTAGGTTAGGAGACTTAGCTTGAGTGCTGCTCTGAGAGTGAATCAAGAGATTAGTCTCTTTGGAAGAAAGAAAATCTGCACAATCTTATTATTCTTTAGAGATACAAGGCTGAATTATTATTGTATCAGTGCTTCAGAGTTGAGAACATTCTTCAGTTATTTGTAGATTACCTTTTTCGTGGGACTTACTTTGTTTTATAAGTACTAACTTTAATGTGGGGCAGGAGACAGGCTTCTGAGTGACTCTAAGGTGCCTTTGAAGTTTTTAATATTTTACTCTGTGAGATCTTTCATGACCCTACCCAGAAACTGCTTATCAATTGAGAAGAATATTTTTCAATATTGATTATTTAAATTGAGAAGAATATTCTTCTCCATTGACAAGAATGTTTTAATGAAAAGGAATTACAGGCATGTGCATCCTTTTACTATGCCATAAACACTGTTCCAAGTTTACAGGAAGCTATTAAGTTACTTTTCCCTTTTGCTGCAGATCCATCAGGGCACGGTTCCTGTCTCATACACAGTGACAACGGTGACTCCACATGGGATACCACTTTGCACAGGCCAGCACATCCCTGCCTGCAGCACGCAGCAGGTCCCAGGGTGTTCAGTGGTTGTCAGTGGGCAGCACCTTCCAGTTTGCAGTGTGCCTTCCCCAGTAAGTCAGTCTATGTAATTGCACCAGCTTCAATCTTAGACGTAGGAATGACATTATGGAGCTTCAGTGTCTGTCTGACTTTAATTGGGATGGACATAGACTTTTCTTTTTCCATCTTGTGGTAAGTTGCAGTCACACAGCAATGTAGGCCTTAGAGCTGGTAAGCATATGGTCCTGTCTTTATAGAATACGATGCTTTATAGAATATGATGCTTTTTAATTCAAACTAAATAGTAGTTTATTATTTGGCTTCTTATCAGCAGCTATTTTGCATACATTCAAATAGTAAAAGGAAGGTTTCTAAGGCTTTTATTAGGCAGCTAACCTAGGAAAAAGTCTTACTTAATAGAGAACTTGTTCAAGGATTGGTTATATACAGAAAGATCTGATATCCAAAGTCAGTTTTCTTCTCAGAAGTAATAAGATTCTGGAAGATCACTAAAGAGAGAAGGGCTGAGAAGGGCTCTTCTGTCTCAAAATGCTCTATAAAATAAATGAAAATATTCCTGAATAAGGATGTTTCTCTGTGCCTTTCTGGGAGTAGCATAAAGTGCCTTTACTGGCTAATTTGCTAGCTTTAAATCTGAAAGACTTTGAACTGTTTTCTCAGAAATGTTTATATATCAGTGTAGAGGTACCACTTTCCAGCTTGTAGCATTCTGATGCTACCATTCTGTGGAAATTTCGTCATTAAGTGTTAACAGGCACCGGAGCTGAAGAAATGCACCCCAAGAAGTTCCAGCTGTACAAATGAAGGTTCCAGAACCTTCTAGAAGAGTCATAGTTTTTTTTCCTCTCCTTTTTCTGCAGTATCATAGAAATAAATAGTTACAGGACAACATATATATTTAATATTGGTATAAACACTGGTCTTTGCCAGCTGTGCCTTTGACAGCAGCATGTAACTTAACTTTTCCTGTTGAACACTGTGTGACATGGGGACATGAACAAGCCTATTGATGTTATCCTTGATGTGACCCCCTATGTCTTTAGCTGCTTATTGAAGAGGAAGAGTAATGCATTCATCTTGTCCAGCTGCCATTTCACCCGTAAGAGACGTATGCAGCATACTGCTAGCCACTCTGGAATCACAGAATGTTAGGGACTGATAGGGACCTCTAGAGATCATCCAGTCCAGTCCCCCTGCCAGAGCAGGATCACCTAGGGCAGGTGATCCTAGGGCAGACCACACAGGAACACATCTGGGCAGGTTTTGAAAGTCTCCAGAGAAGGAAACTCCACAACCTCCGGGCAGCCTGTTCCAGTGCTCTGTCACCGTCACAGTAAGGAGGTTTCTCTTCATGTTGTGGTGAAACTTCCTGTGTTCTGGCTTATACCCATTATTCCTTGTCCTGTTGCTGAGCACCACTGAAAAGAGACTGGCCCCTTCCTCTTGACACCCACCTCTCAGATATTTATACACATTAATAGGATCCCCTCTCAGGCTTCTCTTCTCAAGAGTAAACAGTCCAAGTTCTCTCAGTCTCTCTTCATAGGAGAGATGTTCAAGTCCCTTAATCATCCTCACAGCTCTTTTGTTGGACTCTCTCCAGTAGGTCCCTGTCTCTCTTGAATTGGAGAGCCCAAAACTGGACACAGTATTGCAGATACGGTCTCAGCAGGGCAGAGCAGAGAAGAAGGAGAACCTCCCTAGACCTGCTGGACACACTTTTCTTAATGCACCCCAGGATCCCATTGGCCCTCTTGGCCACACGGGCACATTGCTGTCCCATGGACAACTTACTGTCCACTAGGATTCCAAGGTCTTTTTCCAGGGGACTGCTTTCCAGCAGGACATCCCCTAATCTGTACTGATGCTTGGGGTTACTCCTGCCCAGATGCAGGACTCTACATTTGTCCTTATTGAACTTCATGACATTCACCTTCGCCCAGCTCTTACACAGTAAATTCAGCAAGGTGAGAAAGCAACATGACTTGACAAACATCAGCAGATAAAAAGATAAAAATATATTGGGACTTGGGGAAATCTAAGTAACAGATACTACTATTCTTACCCTCTGCTTTGAACAGCTATGTTATCTGTGCAAGTTATAAACTGTTTTATAATTCAGTAGTGAGGTGTCCTTTAAACATACACAGGGCCAAAGCTCTAACCAGGTTGTTTGGACTGAATATACAAGTGTTAATCAGGTATGTTGAGAGAATGTATGCAGTAGAAGTAAGTATCGAGAATAAGGTTCACTTTATGCAACATTGGCAGGCAGACTTTAGGATTTTTTTCTATTATGTCCCTGAACGGAGGAATAATTTAGGTTAGGAAGGGACTTTGAAGGTCATCTGTTGGTGACCTGCTAAGAGCCATACCAGTTTCCAAGGATGGAGATGTCAGAGCCACTCTAAGCTTCCACCCCAGTGTTTGACTATCCAATTGACCATCCAGTTTCTCCAGGCAGTGAAAGTACATCTGAAGTGTAGCCCTGCCTTCTAGCATGTCAGCCTGCTCACCTGCTTCATCTGTGAACTTCACAGTAATCTTACTTTCACAATACTTGTCTCTCTCACTGTACGTGTACCTATGAAATAAAAAAATGTCACTCACGAAGTACCTTGATCAGTTTTAAAACTTCTTAGAAGCATATGTTCAAACAGCAGAAGTTTTCCAAAAGCCTGAGTGAAAAAACGGGTAGTTTTAGATTCTTTTCACTGGAAACATAAGGCAACATCATTTGGCCTAACTTAAAAAGTGCCCTGAGCATGGCACAGATCATTCCAAATATGTGCTGGACCTAGTAATCTTGGCCATAATGAATCTTGAGATTAAACCTATTTTAATATTTTCCCCTCCTGTTTTAAAGAGGATGTGATGTTTTACCTGCAAATGTATCTTCCGGGCATTTCAGAGAAGAGTTTTCAGTTTAGTAAAATAGAATTTGAACTTATTTTAACAATAGAAACACTTCCCTATTGTATTTCTTCTTTTGGAAAATTTATGTGATAGCTAAGGGTGAGGAATGATCAGCATTTAAGAAAAAAATAGTAGTCAGTTCAAATTAATCTGCTGCTGTTTCAGTGCATATAAGGATTTATATTTAGTCATAATCATAGTAATGTGAGATGATAGTTCCATCTCCACTACTTCAATCTGATTTTAAACTTGATCTCTTTACCATTTAATGCCTTTTTATTCAGTATGTGCAATACATGTTGTGTGATATGACTGAAAAAAAAAAGTGAGAGATAAGAACTGGGTCCTCAATCTTGCTAATAGCTATTTTTTTAATGGGCAAAAATGTAACAAATGCATGACATTCTGATGATGGATCAAGAAGAAGACAATGCAAGTTTTCTTATGTTTCTATGTCTGAAGTTGGAAGTAAAGCTGAGTACTTTCACAAAGCACGCTCCTGCTCCCCTGCAGTGCCTTCATCACTTTAGCATTCAGACTTCAGTGACCAAAGATGCTTTTGTTTGAGGAGTTTCAAAGAGGAGAGAAAATAGGCTATTTCCCACAATAGCTGTAATTTAGGGAGACACCTTTAGGGCACAGAGCTTCTCACAAAGTGCAGAGCTGAGCAGAGCTTACGCATTATTCTTACTGAATGAGGCAATGGAAGTTTTAAGTTACAGTCTAATAGCCGGGGTTCCCTCTGCTCCATATAGAGTTTAAAATGGTTGCAAGGCTGTTGTTCTGGCACGTCATTTTGAAGGTAATATTTGGAGAAAATGAAATAGGATAAATGTATCTGCTCATCACTTAGGAGTCTGTCTAATCCTGGATTATTGAAAATCCTACCTTCCACTGACCTCATGAGAAGTGAGAGCTACTTAGAACCTAGCAGATCTCACACTATGGTACTTCTAGGACCTGTTCTCTACTAATCACTGTTTCTTGTGTATTCAAATGAGTTACTGCTTATGCATGTTTTGGAGGCTTTTCCAAGAAGGCAAAAGAACTGCTTAGTTATAATGATATGTTTCCGTAGTAAATATAGAATGTTCTGTAGGAAATACTTGTTCTAGAGACAAAAATATATTGTTTTCATTTTGTTTCAGATGCTTCAGGCGTGCTCAGTCCAGCACCTACCTGTACCGTATGCAGCATTTCCACCCCTCATTTCTAGTGACCCATTCCTTTTGCATCCTCCTCATATCTCTCCACACCACCCTCCTAACTTGCCTCCTCCAGGACAATTCGTTCCTTTCCAAGCACAGCAATCGCGGTCGGTAAGTACTGCTACTTACACCCTCTCCATAGGATTGGAGGGGCTAGATGGGCAAATAGTGCTGGTACCTAATTAAGGAAAGAGAAGGATTTTGTTTAAATACATTTTTGCACTTCAGCTACCTTAACATGTCTGTAAACACTTAGTGTGAAGATGAAAAAATAATATTAAAGTTCTCTGTGTTTCACTTCAGATTTCATCAGCTGTTGTCTGTGCTGTTTCTCCATAGGCCTTTACTTCTGTCAAAAAGATGTGTATTTGCTTCACCAACTATTCCTTCAGGTGTTTCTTTCCCAGGAAGAAGACGACAATCCAGAGGAGGTTATGTAGTGCAGTAGAGGTCTCAGAGAAAACCTTAGCAAGAGAGAGAAGAAAGTACAGACTGTTACTTTCATTACATGCTTCTTTTGTATTACTTCTCAGCTTATTTTTAAATAAGCAGTGCTTTTTCTAGAACATGGTCTTGGGTTTACCAAACATATTCAGGAGCCGACAGTCTCCATTTGATTTCTCCCCTCGCTACAACTTACGAAAGTTATAAAAGTCTTCTGCTGGAGCAGATTTGGCTTAGTGATAGAGACTATGCAAGTATAGGAAAGTGTGATTCTGTTTTGGATTTGGGGAGAAATAAGATTTTCATTTCTTATCTACAGTTCTTACTGTGAAGTTATCTGTATACTTGTGTCCATTTTTTGTCCCTCTGACTAGAAGATGCCAGTATTTCACTAATGCAGAAATAGAAAACAGGTTCATTGTTACTTATAAACACTTCTGAGACTTCTCCATGCCACGTCTCAGATGTGGATAGGGTTGCAATCGACTTTATTATGATGCTGGGAAAATATGGTTTTCAGTGGTAATCTTCCTAAGACTTCCTTTAGAAAATGCATGGGCTCAGTTTTATCCTGGATTGCTTACTTAGGTTATCGACTAGGCCTGCCTATCAACTTGCAGCTTGGGCAAAAAGCTTGTATCTCAGTGGTTTAAGCATACCTTGTATTTGAAGTTCACTCTGCATACCAGGGAAACAGAATATCTCTTTGGTTCCACAAGGTGGCTTTCTTGGCTTAATTTCTTGAAATGATAAAGTTCAGTGTAAAGAACAGAAAAGCGTATTAGTGAAACAATGACAATTCCTGGTTATTTCCTGAGCATTTTTGAGCTTTACTGGTGTACTACAGTTGACTAGATGACAATACTGAACTTGAATCTCATGCTTCTGAAACCTGTGGACTGCATGTTCTTGGTAGGACTGCTTGCATGACCCTTTTAGGAAAGCATCTGCTTGACTACTGAATACCATTAGCAGTTTAATCCACTGGAGTCACCATGTTTCCTCTCCACTTTTCAGATTTTCTGGCACAATTTCAGTTCTTGTCTATGGTTGTTTATTTTTTTCTCTCGCATAGTTGTACAGTGAGAGCAGCCTGGCAAGAAGGGGAGCAAATATTTGTCCTGAAAAATGCAAGACACAGGAAATTACAGCCACTCCTATATTTGCTAGATCGCATAAATTCCTGGTCTATAAGCATGGCTAGCTGGAAAAGGTGAATTTATATCAAATGTGTAGTGTTGTCTTTGATTTTTAGTAGTGTTAATGACACAGGAATTGTTTACAGAATTACTATGTGAAACTGAGTACAATTATACCTGTGTTTTTGTTTGTTGTTTTGGGGTTTTTTTACCCCATAAAATTGACCACAGCAGCTCAGAATATACAGCTGGGATTGCAGTTCTTTATTGGGGGAAAAAAAAATAGATGTCTGTTATTGCAACAAAGCCTATCTTTTTCTTTTTCTTTTTTTTTTTTTAGCCTCTTCAAAGGATAGAAAATGAAGTAGAACTGCTTGGAGAACATCTTCCTGTAGGGGGTTTTACATACCCTCCCTCAGCTCATCCACCACCATTGCCTCCCTCAGCTCCTCTCCAATTCTTAGCCCATGATCCTTTACACCAGGAGGTGTCATTTGGTGTAGTGAGTATTGTTTTCTGTGCCATGTTCTTTTGCACGTTACATTAACATTCTTGTTCTTTATATTTTGTTCAAAAGTATATTTTGTTCGAAAGCAGCACTTTTGCAGTTGTATTCCATTATTGGCTATAGCTGCATATCATAGTATTTTCTTTGAGCTCATTTTAATGAAGAGTAGCTTGATGATACCATAAAGTGATTTCTGATAACATATCTGGGGAATGTTTTACCACTTGCTTAGAAAACATTCCATGTTACCATACAGACCAGAGCTTCTACTGCAGAAACCAGTTAGTACACTTTAGAAAAGCTGCTGTCACTTTTTGCTAATTCTTCATCATATGTTGAGTTTCCACAAGTCAGGAAAGATAGAATGCTTTAAAATAGTTATTCTCAGAATGTCTGCAATTTGCAGGCAAGCAGTCATATAGAGTGCTTCTATAATTTAGATTGCACCATGTTGTAAAGACTGCAAGGCTTGCCTTAAGACAGCTTCCTGGGGATCTACAGCTAGTTCAACTGCAGCAGCACAGAAAAAAAAATTACACCTAGTGTAGGGTAAAGTCTGTGCTGAATTTTGTGCTCGAATTATTTAGCATAGTGCTATACAATAATAGTGCTTGAGATCTGGATTGTATGTTGCTGAGGAATAGAGATATATTAAAATTAATCATATGGTCCTTTATAAAGAATTCTAAATCTTTATTACATTGTATTTGTATTAAAATTATGAAGTAGTCCCTGCATTTGTGATTCTTTTTCATTCAGCCAACCCAACAGTTTCTAATTGTATTTCTAGATTGCAGAATTCATGACGCAGTAAAATGGATTATTGATATGTCTTTGAGATCTGACTTTGAAGAAAAAGACCCTGTCTCTTCTGCATTGTATTAGTACTCATACGTAAATGTTATGTATAACCATGGCTACCTATTGATAATATTCTCATAGTAAACTTAGAGGCATTTTATTAAATTTCAGACACTGAAGAAGAAAAACATGCTAGTAAAGACTTTGAGTGGTTTTTGTTTCAGAAAAAAGACTCAAAGCATTCAAATACAAATTGAATAGTGGTACATGAATTTCAGTTTTAAAAATTACTCTAAAAAAAACCTCAGTACTTTGAATATTTCTGGAAGAATGCAATTTACATTTAAGTGGAAAATTTTTACCATGTATCCATTTTAGCAGGTGATGCAAGACATTTTGAACAATTATAATGAAAACTTATATAGGCAAGTAAAGATCTTAGTATTTAAATGAAAGTAGTATGACAAAAAAAGCCCTAATATATCCATGAAAAGAATACATTGAAGCTTTAGGCTTAAATATCTCTTTAGACATCCAGCTGCAGAAACTGTGTTGATGAAGCACTCTACATACACTTGAAAGGCTTCCACCCTTCTTTAACATCAATGTAAATGCTTAAAAGTTTGTGGTTTGGCTTTTTCAAAAGAGTTTTTTTAAAACTATTTTTTAAATACTTTTTTACTCAACCATTTGCAAGCAACCACTGCTTGTCTAATAGCACGAGGCCTAAAGCCTGGGCCTTTATACCTGTGAGACAATCATCAGTTCAGGTTTCCTAAACTAGCCTGCACATAGACTAAGCACATAAGAATTTGCAAGAATTTCTGTTGTGTGTTACTACTTCTTCACATGAAGTGGTATGATTGTGTATTATCGATGGGAAACATTTCAAACTGAGACAGAGATTCTTTCGGATTTGAGCAGAGATCTGATTTTTTTAATAATGCTTTACTGAAAGTGAATTGCAATTCAAATTTCATTTTATTTCATAACTAAAATCCCAAAACATTTAATCACAGACTCACAGACTGGATGAGGTTGGAAGGGAGGTCATCTGGTACAACCCCACTTGCTCAGGGAGGGCCACCTAAAGGCAGTTGCCCAGGGCCATGTCCAGTCAAGGAGGAAGACTCCACCACTTCTCTAGGCAACCTGTGCCCGTGCTCAGTCAGCCCCATGATAAAGAAGTGTTTCCTGATGTTCTGAGGAGCCTCCTGTGTTTCAGTTTGTGCCCATTGGCTCTGATCTTGTCACTGGCACTACTGAAAAGAGCCTGGTTCTGTCTTCTTTGCACCCTCCCTGCAGATGTTGACATACATTGATAAGATTCCCCTGAGCCTTCTCTTACGCAGGCTGAGTAGTCGCAGCTTTCTCAGCCTTTCCTCATATGTGAGATACTCCAGTTCCATTTAGTGTTTTTTTGTTGGACTCTTTCTAGTATGTCCATGTTTGTCTTGTACTGGACAGCCTATAACGGGACACTCGTTCCAGTTCCACAAGTTTTACTTGAAGCTTATTTCTTCTTTCTTGCAGCCTCACCCACCTTTTATGCCTCGAAGACTCGGAGGGCGCAGCAGATACCGAACACAGCAGCCAATACCACCACACTCTTACCACCCCAGCCTATTACCTTACGTGCTGTAAGTTAAAAGTACATTTGCTTCTATGTAAGCAATAAAGAAGTCACGTGACTTTCAACTACAGTCTTGGCACTCTTTATGGTTTATTCTCTGCCAGAGGACAGGCATAGTTCAGCTGTCCCAGCTTCCATTTCTGTATAAATTTTTCAGCCTCTTTGGAATAGCATACACCCTTGAGCAGAGAAAAATGCAAGCAAACCATTTGTCCGTTGTAGTTTTGTAGCAGTTTAGAGGCACAGTAACCTCTTGGTTTTGAACTCATAAAATCTTCAACAAATTTCAAAACCTGGTTCTTGGATACTCTTACAGAGGCATGGTTACACTGCAGGATAAAGTCCTAGGAGTCTTCACATATAGAACAAATTCATTTGCTTTGGTTCTTCATTATGAAACGAAAGAGTGGGAGCTTTCTGTGGTGTGTTATTCTTTATTGGCTGAACTGTGGCATCTGTTACACCTATGGAATTTCTGTTCTGCCTCTGATTAGCTGCTGGAAAAGATGTAGGATGGTTAACGTATCTGTAGTGTGTTGTAGCAGACTCTTGAGTTTTATTGGTCTTCTACCTTCTATTTTAGAAATAAATATGAAATGTCTGGAAAGCAAAGATTATTTTCTAGTAGCAAAAGTGACATTGACAAGAAAGTAACCAGACATTGGCACCAGATCTGCAGTTTCTCTCTGTGCAATTTCAGACATGGCATGAAAATTGTACCAAGAATATGCTTCAGTGCAATTGTTCAACTTTGCATCTTACACTCTGAGAGTAATGTCATAGCTTCTTCCCTGTCCATGAAGAACACAATGTGGCACAGTAATTCTTGATTACATAACTGGGATTTTAGTATGTTTCAGTGATGTGAATTTGGATTTCTGTGTCTTTGCATTAAGTTTTGACCCATAGTATTGCCTTCAGGGATAAAAACACTTGCTGAATATGAAAACAGAAAAACTTTGTTCTGTTACCTCTCTATCTGAAGAGATTTTGCTTTAACCAGAATCACAGTGTATAAGAGAGTTTATGCTTGCCTTTAGTATGGTAGTTGATCTAGTAGCATAGTCTATCTCCATTGTGTGTTTTAGGCTTACGAAAGTTTCAAGGCTTTCGTATTGGAGAGCTAAGTGAACGCAGCGTTCCTTCTCTTTGTTAATATTTTATCCACTTAAAGGAAGAAAACATTTTTAAAACAAGAATGTCAGTTCATTGTCAGCTGTAGCTGTCTCTAATCTGCGATAATCGAGAGATCACTTTTTGTAATAATGCTGAGCCTAGTTGGAAGTATCAATTGAGACATATATGCAATTAAAAAGGCAGCATTCCAGGCATGAAAAAGTATCAGAATTAGCTTTTTCCTTTGACAATTTTATTTCAAATATTATTCTTGACTTAATGTTTTTACTAGTTCTGAAAAAGTACGATTTCAGAGGCATCAATAAGGTAACTTTGCCTCTGACAGGTGTTTCTGTGCTTTCCTTGAGCAAAATGCTGAACCTTATTATTGTTTGCTCTCACGGTAGATCAGTGCTCCCAGTGCCACCTGCAATTGGGCCAGCTTTCAGCTTTGAGTTGGATGTGGAAGATGGAGAGGTAGAAAACTATGAGGTTGGTATACAAACTAAAACTACCTTTAAAGAATGAATGTTAGCTCAAGCAATTGTATTATGTTTTGCTTTTAATCCTACTTTTGCCTTTCAAATAAATGTAATGAATGTAAAAACAGAATCCAGAAACCATCGTTTCAGGTTTTTTTTGCAATACTGGCTATTAGAGGTGCTTAGCTTTATTTTTTTCTAATGCTCTTTCCCAGAATCTACCCTTCCAGGCTAGTAATCATTAAATTGTTCTGCTTTTATGTTCTACATGTTACTCTTCTCCCTTTGAATTTTAATTGATTTTAAATACCAAACAGAAGTGAAGCACTTCCAAAAGAAAAGAGTAAGTTGCTGGGTTTATGTGCGTGAGTTGGAAGAATAGTGTTAATACAAAACAATGTTGAGGTCATATGATTAATTTAATGTTTATAAACCTGCCATACTGCCTTTTCTTCCTGGCCCTCAGGAGGGTACAGTAATTCACATCTGTAAATGTAGAACTCTGTTGAATAGTCTCGATAATGATGCAGCAGTCTGTTGTGTCTTTGCTAGTTCTGAGACTATTGGATTCTGTTTGATTTCTTTCCATTGTTCATCAACCCTTACTTTTGCATCTTTTTGCCTGTGCTCCCCTTAAGAGCTCTGTGTAGTTATACATTTTCAGTTTAGCACTGACCACTTCTGTATTAACCTTGGTACTAGTTCAGAAGCATCATACTATTTCTGAGAATTCAGGCCCTGAGTTTTACAATATTAGAAATCTTTGATCAGTACCATTTGTAGGTTTCACCAAGTCTTTTAACTTTTTTGAGCCTTGGTTCTTCATCATGTTTATGGCGATATTTTTCTTAGGTCACTTGTGAAGGACTACAAGTTACATACATGACAGAGTGCAACTTATTTACAAGAGGCTTGTAGTTGCAATGCTTGGCTTATAGAAAATTAATGTAAAAATTAGCCAAAAAAAGTGTTTAAAGTTTGATGGTATGTATTTGTTTTCCAGTTTCAGGATAAAATCTCCATATTTCGATTCAACTAGCCCAAGACATGGAGTGACAATCAGAACCTGTCCCACTGAATTCTTGGTTTCTTTCACAAGACCAGACTCACGTATTCTTAGGAAGCAAATTCGTGGATGATTTTTGTCTGGTTACCAGCATTGTTAATTTCATAGTGGGGTGAGAGGATGCGTCAGAAGCAAAGTACTTACCAAACTGTGCATGCAGCCACAGGACTAATTGAAAGTTGGGTCCTAGTGGTTTTGAAATCCCAAAGAGGACATCTTACATAATTGGAAAAATTACTGAATTCTGAAAAACTTTTTACATGGGGCTTGTGTTGTAGGGGAGAGCTAACGTGCTAAAAATTTCTTGATAGAAGGGTGTTCTGTGCTACCAGCTGGGGTAGTGAGGTGTAATGGCAGCTGCACCTCTAGTGGAACTGGAGTCTTTTTGAGCAGTCTGTTTTTTAAAGTCTAGTTTCCATGTTTTGCAGGCACTGCTGAATTTAGCAGAACGACTAGGAGAAGCCAAACCACGAGGATTGACAAAGGCAGACATTGAACAGCTTCCATCCTACAGGTTCAATCCAAATAACCATCAATCAGAACAGACATTGTAAGTATACGTCTCTTTGAAAGGTCCGTAATTTAGGTGGCTGTATTTCTGTTTCTTTAACTTGCAGCCTCTGCTAGGCCAGAAGGACTTTAAAAGCAGTCATGTCAGTAAACAATTTAATTTTTTTTGACTTGGTTTACTTTCTAAATCAAATATATTTATCCTTACTTAAAAATCTCTATATAGTCTCACATCATTTAGCTATGTTTCAATTTAGTTCCTCAGAATTAAAAAAATAAAATGAAACAAAGGTGAGTTGGTTTTGTTCAGCATACTGCACGTTAAAGTGGTATTGTAAATTTGGAATTTTTCAACTTAGGAACTTACTGTGTTTGAAAGATTACACAGCCAAGTGGAAAGGGTAGTATAGATACAAAGTAGTTAAAGCAACTTACTACCAAATACTATCTAGTGTTTGAACTTAAATGAAAGGATTTTTCTTGATATTCCAGTTTAAGTGACCCTTGGTGTGACTTATCTAGTGTCAGTAGGGAGTGAACTTTATAGGTCATTATCTCTACTATTCTGAATTTTGATTACATGTTTGTTCTTTTGGTTGGGTCTGTGAACTCCTGTAAGCAGGAGGACTTGCTTTGTGATTTGAAAGCACAAATAGCAGTTTTCAGTTTACATTGTCACACTACACATCTAGATGACTGTAGTTACCCAAGTTGCTGTCATGCCTGTGAGGTTCTGTATGAAATGTGTATTTGTTCTTACATTTGAACTTTATTGTCTGTTTTAGGTGTGTAGTATGCATGTGCGATTTCGAGTCAAGGCAGCTACTTAGAGTCTTACCCTGTAACCATGAATTCCATGCCAAGTGTGTCGATAAATGGCTGAAGGTAAAAAAAAAAACCAACAAATCCCATCTTGTAGGGAATTCATTATGTAGTTTGGTGAGAGGGATGGGGGATATTTTTCCTGTTCCAGTTCATTTCATCTCCTGTTATGTTTCTAATGCTCAAACTAGAAATGCCAACAGAGTGGAAGCACTGCCTACTTACAGTATTTTTCCAATGTTTGAAAGGAAGCACATTTCTTTATAATCTTTAGCACAAACAAAAACTAATATGAAGAGAATTATATTCATTGACAGATGTTATTCTGTTCTGCATTTGCACAAAACAATGCCTGTGAATTAAAGTAATGTGTGAAGAAGACTTGAAAACAAAAAGGTAACTAATAATACAGGAATTATATGATTACGACGACTTTTTTACATAGCCTGCATAGAAGGAATGAGTACTAGTACCTTCCTCCCACATTTTGCTATTAATATTAGATTCTGAGGCAAATAAAATGTTATGTGTGTACGTGTATTTTTATGTATAGATATATAGAAATCTAATATATGTAAGTAAACATTACAGGTTTACAAAATTGTGATATGCTGTTCCAGGAGAATTTGAGCAGAAAAGGAAGAATCTAGAATCAGGGCAGCCCAATAAGAGGACAGAGAAAATAGCAACAGTGCAGAAGGTGTGAAGAACAGGAAATACAAAGTAGATATTAATACACACACATCTCTACAACCTGCATTAACCTAGTCTACTGCTAAACAGTTATTGATTCCCATCTTGCCTCCTTTTTTTGGTATTTTATTCTGTTCAGCTTTAGTTTAATCTGTGTGCAGTCTGTTGTGTAGAACATTTGAAACTGCAATGATCCTATGTTAATATAGGATACAGTCTCCAGAGAATTACACATTGTATCTGTTGTTTCAAAAAAAGAAATTAAAACCCCTCACATTTATAGTTTCATAAAAGAAAGCAGATGCATGTTTTAGGCACACAGTAAAATCGTTGGTGCAGAGAATGAAAAAATCAAGTTAATATTGACAGCATTCTTTTTCAGTAATAAGATATCAAGAATAATGAGATGGATTTTAAAACTAGGATATGAAATTGCCCTTGGGGTGCAATACCCATGGTAGTCTAAGGCTTCTAGAGTCTTAGACTACAATGTAAATGTTTCCACAACAATGCTTATAACTTCCAGTAGAACTGATGTCCTTCAGTATCTGAATACATGGACGTACTTGAGAATCAAGAGGAATGTAAACACCTAGTTTTTTTAATGTCAGATTAAAAAGCCACGGACACACACCTGCCACACACACAAGTAATATTACTGGTGTATCTCTGCTAAGATGTATGTTGTTTCATTCAGTAACTGCAAATTAACAGTAGTTTATATATATTCAAGTGATATTCTCCGGTGTCCCCCTCCTCCTCTTGAGGAGCATTCATACTAGATATATCAAGTCTTTCATTGCATGAAACTTTAAGTCATTTTGGCTGTGGACAGAGTATCCAGGATAGTATTCACTCCATTTTATGGGAAGAAAGATCTAGGTTCATTTGACACAGTCTGTGAGATAGTGGATGAGGTAGATCTAGATAGGTTAAACTTATTACATAGTTCTTAAAAAAAGACAGCTCCTTCTAGTCTATTAATGCAAAAAAAAAAACCCCAAAACCTCTGATTCATAGAGCACCTGATCTATGGATTGCTAGAAGTTTGAAGAACATATCAGGGAAGTATCATGCATGCTTGTCCTATTTTTATGTTCTTTCTTACCTGAAGCTGGTCTCAAGAATCAGACAAGAATGTTGAATTAAACTTTTGTGGGACTTAGTTCTACAGTTCTTCAGTTCTACAGTTAGATTTAGTACTTTCAACTGGTAATGAACTGGTGGTTGAATTCAGAAGAACAAAGTGGAAAAGGCAGATTTAGTTTAGTCTCCATTTTTGTAACTCTAGATGTACTGTAGTTATTGTGGAAAAAAAAAAATTTCTAATTCCTATCCCAGCTTAGAAAATATGTATTTTTTAACAGGTCTTCAAGTGTGATGTTTTCTCAAGGTTGTCTTGTAGAAAAACTCTTTGAGCATAAGAGTCCAGCTAGGTGGGGAAATGAAGTGAAAGATACATAATCTAAACCTGAAGCGAGTGCAGTTACACCCACCTAAACCAGCTTGTATTGACATCGTGTATTCCACAGCTGGATGCAAAACAAGAGAGAAAGGTTAAAGCATTGTAGTATAGAATTGCTAAGGCAATATATTTATGCCGTGTGGGTTTAAGTATATTGGTATGAAGATGGTGTACGGAAATAAAGATTATTTTGCTTTGCAAACTACAACAAATTAGTTTACTTTACATCAGCTTAGTTAAGAGCTTCGTTTCGGTTAAGCAGCTTATATCTGAAATTAGGGATAACTGGAAGATATTTTGTGCTATAGTTTTCCTTCTGCTCGTTCCTTTATGTATTTGATAACCAGTTTAATATGTTAATAGTATAATTACATCCAAATCATAGAATCATATAATGTAAGGGGTTGAAAGGGATCTTGAAAGATCATCTAATCCAGGCCCCTGCCAGAGCAGGATCACCAACGGCAGCCACACAGGAACGCATCCGGGCAGGTTTTGAAAGTCTTCAGAGAAGGAGACTCCACAACCTCTCTGGGCAGCTGAGAGTAAAGAAATTTCTACTCACATTGAGGTAGAACTTCCTATGTTCTGACTTAAACCCATTATTTCTCGTTCTACTGCTTGTCACCACTGAGAAGTGATGGTCCCCTCCCTCTTGAGACCCACCTCTCAGATATTTGTATATGTTAATAAGGTCCCCTCTCAGCTGTTTCCTTTCAAGGTTAAACAGCCCCAGTTCTCTCAAGTCTCTCTTCATAGGAGACACGTTCAAGTCCCTCAGTCATCCTTGTAGCTCTCCCTTGGACTCTGCCCAGTAGGTCCCTGTCTCTCTTGAATTGGAGAGCCCAAAACTGGACACAGCATTGCAGATGTGGTCTCAGCAGGGCAGAGCAGAGAGGGAGGAGAACCTCCCTAGACCTGCTGGACACACTTTTCTTAATGCACCCCAGGATCCCATTGGCCCTCTTGGCCACAAGGGCACATTGCTGTCCCATGGACAACTTACTGTCCACTAGTACTCCAAGGTCTTTCTCCACAGGGCTGCTTTCCAGCAGGATGACCCCTAATCTGTACTGGTCCCTGGTGTTACTCCTGCCCAGATGCAGGACTCTACACTTGTCCTTTCTGAACTTCATGAGGTTCACCTTTGCCCAGCTCTCCAGCCTGTCCAGATCTCGTTGGATGGCAGCACAGCCTTCCTGTGTGTCAGCCACCCCTCCCAGTTTTGTATCATCAGCGAACTTGCTGAGGGTGCCGTCTATCCCCTCGTCCAGGTCGTTGATGAAGATATAAGAAGATTGAAGATTAATATTTAAATGAGACATTAGTAATCCAATCTGATTTTTGTTTTATTTTTATCTTTTTTTAAAAAGTTCTTATTCCAGTGTCTGTTGATGGTGGAGCAAAACAAAAGGTATCTAAAAAAGTTTTGTGACTTGTCTGTGCATGCAAGGTTTGATCTGCCTTGCTGGTACAGTACCACCTTTTTAGCGACTGTGAACAAGTGAGAGGAAATGTTCTTTTACAGTGCATTGCATTAGGTTGCCCACTTTAATTTTTTCTTCTCTGGTTAAGCAACTTTAAAGACTTGTGAGAGAAGAGTGTAATACAGTGGAGGAAAATAGAATTAACAATAGGGACATTATCATTTTTCATGGTATTGTAAACTCCCATTTCACAGTATTTAGTTATTTCTTAATATCTTAAATCCTCTAGTTAAATACAAGTATATGAGAAATCTGATGCTCTGTAAAGTAACAGTTAGTAATCATTCCAAAGGATATCTTGAAAATGTGAGCTGTCTTCACCCTGAGGGTTTTGTACCAGATAACAAGGATAGTTTGCCTTTATAATTGACATTCGGATAGGAAGTGCTATATTATATATGAGAAAAGACAAACTATATAAATGTAGTTTAACTTGGTTCTGATGGACCAACACCAAAGTAGTGCAGTGTTTTTTAGAGGATTCTATTAGACCTACAGATTAATTATTCTAAATGCAGTTCACTTGAGCTAGAAATTTATACAAAATATGAAAAAAATAAATTGATTACTTCATTGTGCAACTCTCTCCCTTCACATTACTTGAAAGTAAGTTTGTCCAAAAGAGTGGCTAGTTAGGTCAATATTATGTCCACCTTACTGCTGTCTTTGCAGCAGTCATATTAAATGCCAGGAAGTCAAATGAATTTTATTAAAGGCACAAGAATGGAAATAAAGTTAAAACAGATATTCTTGTTGGATTTTGCAAAGTTACATGAAAAGCAGTGCTGCAGTATCTCTGAGTATTAATTTCATCCTAGCATGGTGGGTTTATTTCTGCATTTCCTATGAGCAAATTACCCTCACTAAATGCTATTCCATGCTAAAAATGGTAGATACTTTATTATTTATCTAAGTGAATACTTCTTGATTCATTGATCTATTGAATTTTGAAGAACCTGGTTTTTATTTTAAAAATTAAATTAGCCGAATTTATATATAGAATAATGCAGATACAAAGTATTGACCAAGTAATAACATCATCGTAAACTAATTTCAAAACTGCCAGTGAAAGAGCAAGAAATAGATTTTGAATTGATTCTTCAGTCCATGCTTTACAAAGACTATAAATCAATAACAACTGCAATATAAACTGTAAAACACTAATAAGAGTAGTAATTGACAAAAAAAATATACTCTCATTATAACTTGAATTACTAAATAATGTTTTTCAGTAACAATGTGTTACTTTCACTGGCATTTATTGTTTGGATTTGAAATTTGTGGCAATGATTTCTGAACACCAGCCTGCAGAGCCACATTTCTTGATGCTCTCATTTGTATTTTCGTTTAAAAAATGACTACTACTTCAGAAAAATCTAGAGTTCACAGTGGTTCGTCCTGCAATTTTGGAAATACGGAAAACAGAATTTGGGGCAAGGAAGAGTTTGTCTTTGCTCTGCCCTTTGCAAAGGAAGTACTTTACCTTTGTTTTGTGCTTTTTCTCATTTGCTAAAATAAAATTAAATTAGCCTTTATTTGAAAAGGGCAATGAAAGGGCAGAAAGACTTTTCCAGTAGCTTCAGGAATGTTACTTCATAGAATCATGGAATGGCGTAGGTTGGGTGGGATCTTAGAGATCATCTAATCCAACCTCCCTGCCATCGGCAAGGATGCCTCTCAGCTAGACCAGGTTACTTAAGGCCTCCTCCAACCTGGCCTTGAACACCTCCAGGGAGGGGACATCCACAGCTGCTGTGGACAATTTATTCCAGAGTCTTGCCACCCTCGTACTGAAGAATTTTTTCCTAAGATCCAACCTAAATCTATTCTCCTTTAACTTAAACCCATTTCCTCTTGTCCTATCGCTGGATACTCTTGCAAACAGTCCTTCCCCAGCTGTCCTGTAGGTTCCCTTCAGGTATTGGAAGGCAGTTTTATAAGGTCTCCCCGGAGTCTTCTCTTTTCAGGGCTGCACAATCCAGGTTCCATTAGCCTGTCCTCATAGCAGAGGTGCTCCAGCCCTTGATTCATCTTTGTGGCCCTCCTCTGAACTCGTTTCAACAGATCTATGTCCCTCTTACAGTAGGAACACCAGAACTGGACGCAGTATTTGAGGTTGGGTCTCACAAGAGCAGAGTAAAATGGGGAGAATCACTTCTGTTGATCTGCTGGCCACACTCCTATTGATGTATCCCAGGATATGGTTGGCCGCCTGGGCTGCATGAGCGTACTGCCGGCTCATGTTGAACTTCTCATCTATCAACACCCGTAAGTCCTTCTCTTCAGGGCTGCTCTCTCCACTCTGTGCCCAGTTTATATTTGTGCCTGGGATTAGCCCAACCCAGGGGCAGGACCTTGCATTTTGACTTCTGGAACCTCATGTAGTTTGCACTGGCCCATTTCTCAAGCCTGTCAAGGTCCCTCTGGATGGCATCCCTTCCCTCAAGTGAGTCCACCGCACCACACAGCTTGGTGTCGTCGGCAAACTTACTGAGGGTGCATTCGATGCCATTGCCAGTGTCACTGACAAAGATGTTGAACAGCACTGGGCCCAGAACAGACCCCTGATGAACTCCACTTTTCACTGGCCTCCATGTGGACTTTGAGCTGTGGACCACAACTCGAGTGCAACCTTCTACCCAGTTCTTTATCCACCGAGTGGATAAAGAGTCCATGTCGAGTCCATGTCTATCTTAGAGACAAGGATGTCGTGGGACAATGTCAAATGCCTTGCGCAAGTCCAGGTAAATTACATCAGTTGCTTTCCCATGTCGACCAGTGCTGTACCTTTGTCATGGAAGGCCGCCAAATCAATCAGGCACGGTTTACCCTTAGTGAAGTCATGTTGACTGTCATTGATCACCTCGTTATTTTTCATGTGCCTTAGTACAGCTACAGGAGGATCTATTCCATGATTTAACCAGGCACAGAGGTGAGGCTGACTGGTCTGTAGTTCTCTGAGTTTTCTTTGCTTCCCTTTTTTTAAAAATATGAGCATTATGTTTTCCCTTTTCCAGTCTGTGGGAACCCCACCAGACTGCCATGACTTCTTAAATATGATAGCTAGTGGCCTAGCAACTTCAGCTGCCAGTTCTGTCAGGACCCGTGGATGTACATTTCATGTACTTCTCATGTCTCTTATCTTTTTAAGGAAACTGTAAAAATAGAAGAGTGACAGGACATATTTTCAGGAAGTGCTTTACAGAAGGACTAAATGTAGACCTGTAAATGTGTGCTACTTGAATATCTATTTGTCAGGTTGTTCTCCTTTCCCTCTACCCTCCACCACCCCATTAGTTGCATCCATCACATTGCAGTGTACTATAACTGAATTTGTATTAGGAAAACCACTATAAATACACTTTTTTTTTGAAAACATAAATTTGAATTGGCAGACTTATCACATGACTCTAACATAAGCTAAACATAAGCACAGTTTTTCTTCTCTTGTTTTGACTGCTCTTGAATTGCTTTTCAGTACTCAGATGTCAGTGTCATATACAGATTACCTTAACAATATATTTGTCAGTACAGTAAGCCCTCTTTTGTTTCTGGTTTTACAGGCAAATCGTACCTGCCCAATTTGTAGAGCTGATGCTTCGGAAGTGCATCGTGATTCGGAATGACGAATCTGAGAGCACAAATCTCCTTTGTGTGTTCCTGTTCACATGTATATAAGAACTATCTATTGAACTTATCCATGTGGCTTCCAGCCTACCCTTTACACAAAAGGGTCAATAGACCTTACTTTGCACTGTGTGACTTAATCAATTACAAAGCTTACAACTAGTCTTCAAAGTTACAGGATTGTTATACTAACAGTGTGAGTGGAACTCCAAAGATTTATTTTTTTAGCTTAATTTCATGTGTGCACTAACATTCTCTGGATTTTGTGTGATCATTCCGAGTGTTGCTGCAAGACTACTGTGGACGTGATCTTTTTAGCATGTGTTTTTTATATAAAAGAAAAAGAAAAAAAATCACGTAGCTCCAAACAATATAGCAATCTACCTTATATAGAGCCTTCAGATACTGTGAGTGGGCATGGATGGTGTGAATGTGTGTTTACTTTTAAGAGGATGCCTAAAGTGTGTGTGTGACTGAGTGTGGATGTGTGAGAACCTACATACCAGCATGTACTGAGAATGTATGTGTGTAGTAATAATTATGCTGCAGTGTATAATCTTGCGTGTTATTTAAGCAGTACTAGTACTGTACACTGGTTCCTTTCCTTCTGTTTGCAGTTGCACACAGAATGTGATGGGTGCAGCAATTACAGATATTTAGTATTTCCTCCCCAGCGTACTTACAGGTATAAAAACCTTTCTAACCTACTATTCACACAACTGTTATGCTTCCCCGTCATTGGAGGCTCTAAATGTGTACCACTAAAGAGTGCATTGCTTATTCATACATGAGTAACTTTAGGGGTTATGTATATGTTACAAAGTCTGGATTTATAAGTGGCTGATTTACAATTTATTTTATCAATATGAAGTTGGAATATTGCACAACTAATTTAGCAGTATTAATATTTTCAGTTGTTAATATGAACATCAATGCTTTTTTGTTCTCCTTTTAAATTTTTCTAGCTGCGTTTGCCGGTTACGTGTTTCTTCCATGAAAGGAAGCAGAAGGGACTCTGAGGGTCTTGTGCAGCAACACTTCTGTTCATTATAGTTGCTAAGGACACAATCTTTCGGCTTATAACCATTGGCTTTGATCACGTATGTTCTTTGTCATTTACAAGGGAGTTTGTATGCAAATAAAATAATTTCTAAAAGTTTACAATTTTATTCCTGCAACTTCATGAATAAAATGAAGTTTTTAGCATTTACTCAGAAAAGTAGAACTTCTGATTATTTTCACTGTATTGCAGTAGAAGGTGTTTTTTGGTTACTAACCTGAGAATTCAGTTGCCCTGGTGCTGCTTCTTGCTCTTGGTTTTTGGATGATGACTGTAACATGAAGAAGGAGCTCCATTAGTTTTTTGCAATCAAGTTTCCAGAGCGTTCCACTATAGGAAAAATTTGGAATGCTTCCAGAACAGTGCTGTGAAATAAGAGGTGATAACCTCTAATCAAGTGCTCTGAATAATGTTTTATTTGGGTTATTGAAAAAAATTACCTTCATTTTTAACATTCCGATTGTTAACGTTTTCAATTTGTTCTAGCAAAATATTTAGGTCTGTGTATGCCATAGTTCCTCCAAGGATTTACTCTGCAAGAAGATTCTTCTCCTAAATTCAGTGTCCTTACTTTGGTTGCAGCAGCACAAGTGGCACAATTAGCAACATTGCTGCAACTTGCTGCCAGTCTCAGCTTTAAGTTTATTCTTTGTTTCTGATGCTTTTGTATGCTGCTATACTTTAGTATAATTTTTATTTCAAATTGTTAGATGTTCTCCATGCTGATTTCCCTCTTTGAAGATCATATAGACCTGTCGTTTGCACTCATTTGTTCCTAGTGCAAATAAAATAAAGCACGGTGTTGTTGTGTTTCAGATGCTTTTTCCTGTGTTTAATTATACAGGTAGATCGTAAAAACAGTGAGACTTTCCATACCAATCCATACTTAAGAACACTAAATAAATAAAAATTCTGTTACATCAGCTTGAAAATGTTGATTTCTCTTCCCGTTTTTCTCTCTTCCCGTTTTTCTCTCTTCCCGTTTTTCTCTCTTCTCGTTTTTCTCTCTCCTCGTTTTTCTCTCTCCTCGTTTTTCTCTCTTCTCGTTTTTCTCTGTCCTCGTTTTTCTCTCTTCTTGTTTTTCTCCTCATGGAGTTGAAGAATAGGCTTTTGATAACGTCTAGCAGATTAAATTACATGTAATAATATTTATTTTTTAACAAATAAAATCATGTTACTTAAAAAACATGCTATATATGTCTTAGAAATTAGGTTCTTTTCTGTAACTGCAAAAGAAAAAATTCTGTTTGTACATATTTAAACATAACTAATACCACTCTGCTCAGTATTCATTTCACAGTATGGGAAGAGGGTGCTAAGCTAGATACAGAGGAACAAAACACATTCTTCTGAAGCTAACAGGAAGTAGTCTTCTTTCTGGAATTGGAGAAATCTTGATGTGCAATGTCCCTTTATCTCCAGTAAACCTCTGTGAGACAGTAGGAGATCTAGGAGATGGAGGGTTTAAGCTGGTAAAATCCTGAAATAGTTGCACTCTTACGGTTTATCTATTCTAGCATGGTTCTTTTGGTTGTATGGGACTCTTGCAGATGTATGTGGACTTGCTTCCTGTGGTTGGTATGTATAAACAACATGTTTGTGTTCTAAATCAGCTCAGACAAGCTGCAACTGAGTCCTCTATGTGTGGCTGTCAAGGGAGGAGGATTCATGTTCAGCTGATGCACATTTGTGTGTAATTCCACAGCCAGCCATGGTGCTTGGCAGCATGTGAATTCAGGAAGACTTTTTTTTTTATTATGTTTGTTGCCTTTCTGCCACCACCTGGCTCCTTCTCCAGAAAACAAAAACTTGCAATATGTTTGCTTTATCATATTGGCACTGCTGTGTTTTTTGCATAAATTGTCGGTTTAATTTGATGTTTTTAGTGGATATCAAGGCCTACAGATAATTCCAATGTCTCATTTTGTGGCATTCTTCAGAAAAAATTAAGGCATTTTGTTGTGTGCCATTTTGGACAGGTTCTTGAATGTGCACAGCTGTTAATACATGGTGTAATATTTGGGATGAAATTCACCAACCGTTTTTTGTAGAAATTGTAGAAAACACATTTTTGACTGTGTTATCTTTGGGCCTTTGTAAAAGCTGATTTTTTTTCCTTTGGTACATTGTTACCTCATTTTGCTACTTGTGTTTCAGATTTGCTAATGATTATGAAAGCTTATGAGTTTTGTTGGAATCATATTTTGTCAAGTGGGTTTTTTTAAGTTATACACTATTTTATCATTTAACATACAGTTTTAAATGTATTATAAAAATTGTAACCAAATAATTTGAAGGCTTGATAAATTTTTAACAAAATTTGTACATTTTTTAATGCGAGTTACTAGTAATGCTAATTTACTAGGTAGTGCAATGACTTCTTATTTTTAATCCCTGTGCCCAGTTTTGGATTTGAGAGAGTTGTTCAGTAATAAATGTGTGGTGTACATTTACACAATTTTGTCCTGTTCTTCCTCTTAGAAAGAAGTGCCTTGTTTCCTTTCATTACTCTGCATATTTCTGGACATGATCATGCAACTCGAGGTACTGGCAACAGATACTTGTGTCGTAGGGGAAGTTTTGCCACCTTCACTATCGTGCATGACAGACTTTGTGTAATCTACTTTGAGGGATCATAGGAAAACAATATTTTGAAAATTCATAGAACTCAAAGAATTGCCTAAAAGATCAGCTTTCTAAACCTGATAATTAGTCAAAAGAAAATTGCAGTTGCTACTTAGGTATACTATTTGCACTGTGTTTCAGTTGAAGATTTGTTACACTTTGCAGTGCCCTAACAGTGGTAAAAAATGCATCCTGAGTTAAAGGTGGAACTGAATTGTATGAAGTTTAATTAGCCAAGGTTGCACAAGAAGTTAGTGGTGAAAAAATAACAAAAATAGTTTTTCTGTTTTGGTTTTAGTGAGATATTGTAAGCTATTTGACAGATGTAACTATTTAGGAGACTTCTTTACACAGAGCGCTTAATAGCTTCATCAATACCAGGTGTTTTGGGAACTCAAACATATTTGAAGATCTGTTGGTTCTCTGGGAACCTTTACACAAAGATGTACAGGTATTTTAGATTTGTAATCCTGGATAACAACTGGTTTGCCCTCTTTCACAGAGGCAACATCTTTGTAGCAGATGTTAATTATTAATCCCACTGAAAATGGGCAGTGCTGCCAGTAGTACTTGCAAAGCTAAAGTACTGAGCTGACCAGATTCAGTGATGGTAGGGGAACTTAGAAGTACTGGTGGCTTGCTTAGAACCTGTACCAGGAAGGCCCTGAGAGTAGAGCATGGATTCCTGGTAAAGACCATAGAGTATCTCAAGTTGAAAGAGACCTGTAAGGATCATGGAGTCCAACTCCTTGCTCCTTGCAGGGCTATGCAAAATTAAACTATATGACTAAGAGTGTTGGCCAGATGCTACTTGAAGTCTGACAGGCTTGTGCATGACCACTTCCCTGGGAAGCCTATTCTAGTAACTGACTACCTGCTCAGTGAAGAGTGTTTTCCAGTGTCATAGAATCATAGAATGGAATCAGAATTCCTTGGGTAGGAACGGACTTCTAAAGGTGATCTAGTCCAATACCCCTGCAGTAAGCAGGGATGTCCTTAACTAGATCAGGTTGCCCTATCAAGCCTGACCTTGAATGTCTGCAGGGATGGGGGCTTCATCACCTCGCTGGGCAACCTCTTCCAGGTTTCACCTCATAGTGAAAAACTTGTCCCTAACATGTAATCTAAATCTACCCTGCCCTAGTTTAAAGCCATTGCACCTCATCCTATCACAACATGCCTTGTTAAAAAGATTGCTTCTATATAGGTTCCCTTTAAATATTGAAAGGCTGCAACAAGGTCTCCTCAGAGAGGTCTTCTCCAGACTGAACAACTCCAGTTCTCTCAGCCTGTTTTCATAGGAGAGGTGTTCCATCCCTCTGAACAGTTTTGTGGCTCTCCTCAGGACCTGCTCCAGCAGGTCCATCTCCTTATTTTGTTGAGGGCTCCAGAGCTGGATGCAATACCCCAGATGAGGTCTTGCCAGAGCAGAGGGGAAGAATCGCCTCTCTATATTCTGGCCACGCTTCCTTTGATACAGCCCAGGATTCTATTGGCCTTCTGGGCTGTGAGCCCACCTTGTTGGGTTATGTCCAGTTTTTGTCCAGGAGTACCACCAGGTCCCTTTTTCTCAGGGCTGCTCTCTGCCACATCATCCCCCAGCCTGTATTAATAATGAGGATTGCCCCAACCCAGGTGCAGGATCTGGCACTTGGCCTTATGGAACCTAATGAGGTTCACATGGGCCCACCTCTCCAGCTTGTCC